ACGCGGCGACGCGCCCGTTTAGAAAATTGTATCACAAAGAGGAGCTCTTCCGTCAACTACCAATACCCCCCTACGGCGGCTCTTCCATCGATTACCGGTGCTCCCTCAAGAGCCGTGCGCTCGTCATAAAGGCACTCGTAATGCGCGCAGTAGATGCTAAAAAAAGAAAAGCTTTTGTATAAGCTTGCGGAAAACTATGCGCTTTGGGTTGAGCGGGAAACTATTCGAGATGACAATACATGGTTCGATTTCGATTCTAAGGTACATAGTTCGATTTCGATTCTAAGACGACCCCCCAACATTGGATTGTCAAATTTGAAAAAAAGGGTCGTCTTACAATCGTGTAAATACGGTATATTTATTGTACAATAACGAAACTTGGCACGCATGTTCTTCAACACATGCAGAATTGAAACATCTACTTGAAATTGCAATGCCTACCAGAATTAGTTGTGAAAATATTAGGTTATTGTTTCAAGGGAAATGAAAATAATTAGTCATTCAATACGATTTTTTTCCCTTGGTTCCAATATTTCTGTGATATATCTAGATAGATATTTGCACTTTACAATCTACCAAGAGTCAAATAAGATCACAGACAATGCTTTTACTGGAAGTTGAGTACCTGAAAGAGTACCCGCAAAACATGCAACTTTTTGCTATTGTGCATGGCGTAACTCAATAACTATAGCAGCTACACAAAAAATGATTGCATATTTGAAATCTCCCCGAAAAACTATATTACAGTGGAGCCCACATATAACGGCCCCACTTAAAACGAACAAAATCACACTTACAACGAAAGTCTCCAAGTGCCGCTGATCGGTTACAGCGAACGAAAGTAGCGGTCTGCCGACTTCCCGGGAAACCACTTTCGACTACCGATCAGGCATCCGTGAGGTGCCTGTACATTCTTATTGTTAAACGCCGACCCTGCCTCCGTGACCCTCTAGTTGCCGCTCTCCCCGACCCATGGAGGAAGAAAAGCTGTTTCCTTCCTCCATGCCCCGGCTGCTTTTTGTTACACAACCCTCCGTCCTTTGTCCCCCCCGCTACTCTGAGCACCCCGCATCGCCAGACGAGGCCAGTGTTTTCACATTGCCACCGATCTTTTGAAGACCGGTCGGCCATCTACCCTGTTTTTGACCGCTGGTACTGTTGTTGGCGTCGCCGGCCTGGAGTGACCAGACCCTTTGCCAACATCGTCGGCCACCGTCTGTATCGGATAGTCTGCGTCTAGTGCACGCACGTACACTACCCCACCAACTCTGATGATTAGAGATTCGTTTCGTGTTTAGGACTTGTTATCGCTCACTTCCCACTCTGCTCTCCAGCCTTCCGCGCAAGTGCCGAAGCGCGAAAACGGCTTTTAAATTGCGCAGAACGAATCGCGAAATATCGAAGTTCGTGAGGCCACGTAAACCCGCCGGCGCAACAAAACGATTTTATGACCACGGCCGCCGATTTTTCGCACACTACCGCGCGCACCGATCTAGGCAGCCGTGCTTTGACTTTTGAGCGCGTAGGCACTCTTTCCAAGTTTTTTTTACGGGCAAGTTTCGCGGACCTTTCAAGCAAGCTACCCAACCTGCCTCCTTCCAGTGTGTTTTGGTTTTCGAGGTCGCCCTCCCGCCGCATCCTCCCCTCTCTTTATCGCAACTCCTTGCCCTTCTCTCGCAAATCTGCTCTCCTCTCTTGATCACAACCCCTTCGCCCACGGAGGAAGGAAATGCCTTCAGCCGTCTCCACCGCACCGCGACGCCCGCCACGCTGGCTCGAAATAGTTTCGTTTTCTGACTGAAAATGGGCCCAGAGCTGTTCCACGTGTTCTGGCATGTGTGTCGCGTGTGCGCATCTTGCTCGCTCTTGGTGTGCGTGTGTGGTCATGATGGCCGACGAAAGAATTAGCACGCTTTTTCCGGCTACTCAACAAAACGTCGAAAGTGTGACCGCCTGGCTTGAGCGTAATCCGCGCGTTTGGTGCCGCATTGCGGAGCGCTTACTCATAGCTGTTGACCACCTGGCAGCCAACTTGCCGCTTCGAGCGTCTCGGTATTCAGCTGCGGAGATGGTGAATGTTTCGTGGGCGGTGGGGACGGCTACATGCGCGCGAAGCTGTTTTCGCAACTTTGTCGACGTCGGGCCCGATGCCGAGCCTGAAGCTTCCGAATAGGACCACTGCGGCGGCGATTTGTGGCAGCACATCGTCGACTTCGACCTGGGAGAGCGGGTGGGACATCTGTTGCAATGGTTTAATTACGGCCGACTATGATGCCGACACTGCGGAACCGTGCACGGATTGGGGCATTGTGAATGAAGTACGTGGCGAGAGCAATTTGAAGGAATGGGATTGCGACAACGACGAAACTTCGGAGCCAGTGCCTCATGCAGCTTATGCCACGGGCCTCGGCAAACGAGCACCCTGCCGTTTTAAATGAACTCAAGACCACCCTTATCGCTTATACTCTTCGAAACACGTGCATCACCGACAATTTGGGGCAACAAAAGTTTGTGTTTTCACTCGCAACTTTTTTTAAAAGCTGTGTTCCATTTACTATGAACTTCAGGATACAGCGAACGAATGCCACGTCATGCTCAGGTTCATTTAAGCGGGCTCGACAGTAATAACAAAATTTTCAAGTGTCTATGATCAAAAATTAACAGTTCTTTCGAGCAGCATCTCCTTTTAATGCATGGAAGGTTCTTAATTTAGTGCAGCTGATTAATTGATTGATATGTGGGGTTTAACGTCCCAAAACCACCGTATGATTATGAGAGACGCCGTAGTGGAGGGCTCCAGAAATTTCGACCACCTGGGGTTCTTTAACGTGCACCCAAATCTGAGCACACGGGCCTACAACATTTCTGCCTCCATCGGAAATGAATTTAGTGCAGTTAGTTCGATTACTAGTGATTAATTGTAGGTGGTAAGTTTGATGTCATCTGAATCATTTTGCAATTGTCCTACTCATGACGCATGCGTTCTTGTGCATTTACCTTAATTTCTTGGCAAATACTAAAGCACTGCTGCTGATAATATTGTCGCTTTAGACATTGTCATACATTGAGCTTTCACTCTGACATAAATTGTTAATATTAGACTTTAGCGTCCCTATAAAAACGTGCGTAGTTTGAACTGGCCAACCTTCAGATGATTTGGTTCAAGAAAAAAAAAAAAAAAGACCACAAAGGACAGTTGGCACATTTTAAGCCCTGTTATTTCAATTGCAAAACAGTGTGCAGAATTTAATATGTATTGCAACTCAGTGAATCTCTCCATTTCTTACAAACATACAACTGCGGTGCAGTACTGCAGTCAAGACAATGAAGGGAGATGAGACGATGAGCAAGCAGCTGCCTGGCCACGTTAGCACACTATCAAGCTGGCTTCTCGTGCCCAACTTTCCAATTTTTTTATCTTGGTGCAATCTGCATGTGAACTGGCTGTTGGGTAGTCAATCCTGAATGTAAATTGCAAGAAGCATCAAGGCTGAAAACAACGGGAAACACATGGCAGATGCAACAAGTAACGGCAAGTACACTCAAACCTCATTATAACAAAGTTTCATCTTATATGCTAGTTATATCCGAAAATTAATTATATATAGCATAACTAACACTATACATATTGCAAGACTATTTTTCATTTACTTCGCTATGACCAATATTTCGTTATACCCGGGTTTGTTATATTGAGGTACGAGTATGAGAAGTTCAGGCAGGTCCATTGCTAATCGTCCGAGCATACACTAGCCAAGTTGGGCCCTATGCGGCCAAGCATGGCCCTTTGTGGTGAGCCTAGATATGTCAACTGTAACACGTGCATACCTTCTACTATACATTAAACCAGTTCACCTGGTAACGTAAAGCACAGGCAAGCTGCAGAACTACCGTAAAAACCGGAATGTATGTCAGACCGGAATATAGGTCAACTCCCAAACTTTGAATCTCTAAAAAAAATTTTGGAAAATCGTAAAGCATCGCAGCGCACCTTTACCTTGGTAAATACGCGACAAACCAGCTGCACTGTGGTGACATTTATTAAGACACTAATCTTATGTAGTTAAACGCCAGAAGGCCACAAAGTGCTGTCCCTCAGACTCGTCTGTCCGAACTTGAGTTCGACGACGTCGTTTTTCACTAGTGACGGTCCCAGAGTGCATCGTCCTCCATTCCAACCCATGCATTACTGATGCTGCATTTGCGGAAAACAGCAGTACGCCGCCTCAGTGCAAAGCTTTTCCGGTTCATAAATCGATGCACCCACGATGGCGATTCCTTGAATTGCACCCTTGTGAGCCAAGTCTAGCGCTATCCAGAGTCACGCGGCGTCTCCAGAGCTTTCCCGCGAATGCACTCTGCTGTTACGGGTAGCGACCTTGCATGCAGCTCCTGGACGAATTCGAGTAGCATCTCCAGTTTGAGGTGCACTACAGTCTGTCCATGAACCTATGTTTTTTTTGTTTTTTTTTTGTTTTTAAATTGCTGCAGGATGTTATGCGCTGCTTTTGGCTCCTCCGATATGGGACGATTTTCTCCGATTAACCAAATTCCCGTTGGACCGCCAGGTTGCCGTGCGCTTCGGCATACTCAATAACTTTTTTTCTTAAGGCCTACCGTAAACTGCCGTCAACTACTACTCATTTCTGCAGAAGATAGGAAAAAAAAATACAGCAGGCTGGCAGCAAATAATCGAGGCAAAATGGCGTTGCTAGTACACTGTAGGCATTGCCTAGCCTTGCCCAACGGTGCCGCTACTAATGCTTACAATGGCAATGGAGGCTTTCAACTTCAGCTGCCATTGTTGCGAGACTTCCACATTTTTTTTCTGCAAATGAATGGCACATAAGACAAGAGTCGACTTTCCATTGCATTTAAGGGGAAAAAAATCGACCTATATTCCAGTTTTTACGGTATTTTCACATCCTGAAGAAGTGCCAGCTGCAAAAGCCCAGCACAACATGACGAAGTAGATCGACCCTCATCTGAGACAGACGTACGTAGCAGAGGTGGCACGATCAGCTCAGGAGGAAGCTTGCTGCGGCGGCCGGCTGGCATTGCGTGCCTGGAACAACTTGGTCTCCTCAAAGACCAGCACCTTCAGTTGTTCCTTGGGCAGGTCGTCCAGCTCCGTCTCAAACTTGAACGGCTCATCTGCCACAGGCTGCAAAACACAAACCACAGGTATGCAAGAGTCAACGCAGATACTTTTTCCTGCGGCTGCGACATAAATAACAAATGTACAAGCAGACAAAATGTACTCTTTCTCTAAGCACAATTTCCTGAAGTGCACACCAGCAGTGTCCAGAGACCTGCGCTTTAAATTTGTTACCCCACTACCCTACATTTCCTTCTAGCTCTATTGTTCAAGAATACAGTAAAACATTGGTTATATAGACGTCGCAGGGTCACCAAATATATCATATCATCCATAATTCGTATCACCAGGAAACAGAAAATTAGTATGCGACAGAACAAGGTTGGCATACAGTTAGATTTATTGTTTCTCATGAAGAAGTCTGAAAGATTGCCAGCACAGTTTTTAGATGTCGACGATCACACTTGTAACTTGTAGTAAATATAAGCCATGAGCATACGTAATTAGTGAACTAGATTTGTTGCGACACGTGACAGCTAGTAGCCTCTTCTAAGTCGTGACACGCTTTTCTGCACAACATTAAAGTACTGCTGTGAAAGGGACCCAAGAAGTGCGTTGCACGTGAACCGGTGAAGGCTGGAAAATTTTCGAACTGCTGGCATTTGTTATTTTCTTATCGCGGTGGTGCTGGGGGCAGTTTTTCAGGCGACCTGGGTCCAGTCCCCCATGCAAATCTGAGTGTTGGCCAGGGCACATGCATGCCAGCACTTGAGCTCCCCTGCCCGTGCAGTCTTCTGTCGCAGCGCCTGTCTGTACCTGCGCGGTATGTTGGGATCATAACAAACGTCGTGGGGCAGGCATTAAAGGCCACGAACACAGAAAAATTTGTATCGCCCCGAAACTCGCACGAATCAGTGAGGCTCTACTGTATGCTGTATATAAATGCCAATAGAAAAAGTGTGCATAATGCATTAGAGGTTTAACAGATATGAATATCACTTACCTATCTGTACTATTATTAAGCAGCAATATTTTTTTTTGGAGCCTCACAACGGTTTTTTAGTTCCTGTGTACCTACAGTTCATATGTAAATGCAAACGCACGTGTTATGTGGATACAGTTGAGAAAGGTGTGTAGCGTTTCTTCTAGCAAAGTTCACATGTGTACAAATTAAACTATACATGATGACTGAAGGAGTTGCCACTAGACAGCACATTTTAGAGTGAAATAGGAAATGTACAGAACCTACACCATTGTTTTCCTGAAAACGGTAACTATTTTATTATTACACACATGTGTTGTTGTTGAGCTAACAAGAAGGTTTGCTTGAGAGACTACTGCAATATCCCTATAGTGGCCCAGAGCCTATTAGCACGTACCTGCTCCCCCCCCCCCCCCCCCCACACACACACCTTGTGATGCCACAGTGCACAAGACAAATCAGAAGGAAATGTATAATGCTTCCTACACTCATGGCCTCACCTCATCACCGGGATCGTAATACTGTTCCAGGTAAGGATGTGCGAGGGCCTCTTCAACATTTATTCTTCGATGAGGGTTGAAGGTCAGCATCTTGTCCAAGAGATCCAGAGCTGCGGCAGATGTTAATAAAAGCGAAGGAAGTTGCATAATCTTTCTTATGATAATTTGAACATTGCCAGTAGGCTGCTCAATCCATGCTACCAGAGCAAGATCATACAAGGCATTGAGAGAGTAGACGCAGATGTCACCATACCGTATTTACCCAATTCCAACATGTCCCCGATTCTAACGTGCACATGAGTTACATGACCCAAGAACAAAAATACAGCTATGGGGCAGTTTAAATGTCTGTACTTCAATCCAACACAAATGCGATTTTAAAGTATTTTTTCTGGAAAAAAAAAAAAGAAGTGCACATTGGAATTGGGTCAACACGGCAGTTTATGGAATAGATACTTTTTTGTACCGCATCTAACCTTGCTGTGGCGAAATGGATAAAGCAAGTGTCTACTGTGAAGAGTCTTGGCCTGGCCCACACATAATAAATCCAACATAAGCAAGCAGAAACGGATCACAAAGGAGCTAAGTCATTCTATGCATCTATATACAGTGAAATCTCGATACAACGAATTTGAAGGGACCGCGGAAAATAGTTCGTTATTTTGAAATATCGTTATAGTGAAAACATCGAAAATTCGCATTAAAAATCGTAAATGCAACAAAAGGAGTCGCCTACCTTTGCTGTGTACACATCCGCAAACGCTTGATTTTATGACGAGCGTGAAAAGAAACAAAACGCGAAGTATTCCGGAATGAGCGCACGTTTATTTGAAAAAGTCGGTGATCTTAGCCTGGCGGGTGCCGCTCAACTGCCGCAGGACGAACACTTCGAAGTTGTCCACATTCTTATGCTCTGCTTCAGTGGCATTGCTGCACCTGCCAAGGTAAGTGCGCATCTTTCGCACGCATTCCATGATGTCGGCGTTGGAAAGCGCTTCTTCTGGTTGGCTAACGGGCGCGGTGTCAGCGTCGTCTTCGCCATTGGCGTCCTCGTCGCTGTTATCACCACGAGCAGCACTGACGATGTCATCGGTCGTCAGTTCGGCTGACGTTGTGGGAATTGAGGCTGGCCCGCTGCCTTTGCGCGGGCTTTCCCGCCTTTCTGCCATTCTCATGTCCCGACATGTCTGCCCTCCTTTGCTGTCTGCCGCGCCGGGAAGGGCGGAGTGACGTTTACCTCCCTCACCCGGTAGCGGATGTTGACTGTGGCGCCGGCGCGGGAGCCTCCCGAGAGGTTTTCCGCGCGCTGCGTCAGGAGCGGTGAGTACAGTCCGGGACTTCAAACGGTGAGCCACGAATTCTTTTCCGTCCGTCGAGTCCCGTCGCTCGGGGCTCGTCGGACTTCGCTGACGGCGCCTCGCGCCCGATGCGAACGCTCACCTTTTGTTGCCCCGCTGCGTACTCACGGCCGAAGGGCAGTACGGTGTCCTAGTGCGTGGCCTAGCTACGCCGACCCGTCTCCCTTCGAAGCCAACGCGAGCGCCTTTGCCCTCGCTCGAGCAACCGGGCCCCCTTTGTCCCGGTGTCTCCGTGGATCACCTTTACCGCGGAGACGTGCTCGTGGCACCCTGTGTAGTACTTTGTGCCCGTGGCGTGGATAAGCCTACTTGCTTTCCCGCCGCGCCTATTTGCAACGGGCTGTACTGCGTTTGGTGTTGCCACAATAAAGTGTTGCGACTTGAGCAGTATCGTGTTTCCCGCCACGGCGACGGTTAACCGCGTGCCCTGCGGCTCGCTAAGACCGGACCCACGCTGGTGGCCGTACTCCTTCGGGATACGTGTACACCACACTGGCGCCCAACGCGGTATCAAAAGCTCTAGCTTTTGACTGCTCTTAGCGAGTCAGTTCGCCTGCGCGATTCGGGCTCGTCGCAACATGGCTGCTTCGCGGGACTTTGTCCGCTGTCCCTTTTAGCGGATGCCGCGTTGCACACGGAGGCCATTGCCTCTATGGACGGGAACCCTTCTGCACCCGTCCGTGTCGGCACCCCCTATTGCGGTGACGACACGAGGCGCCTAGCCGCTCCCTTTGGAGATGGCGCGTCGCTTCGGAATGGGCCTCTTGCCCTACCCGAACGTTACGCACAAGCGCCTCCGACGCCCGTCCGTGTCGGCACCCCCTATTGCGGTGACGACACGAGGCGCCTAGCCGCTCCCTTTGGAGATGGCGCGTCGCTTCGGAATGGGCCTCTTGCCCTACCCGAACGTTATGTCTGCTTCGTGGCATGCCGCGTTGCACCAAGAGGCCACCGCCTCTATCGACGGGCGCCCTTCGGCGCTCGCCTGTGTCGTCACCCCTTCTTGTGGTGAATACACTCCTACGTGGTAGCTGACGCGCTATCTCGTGCCCCTTGTTGTCTGCCGAGAACCTGGATTTCGGTGCGACGGCCGCTCGCGGTGCCTTAGCACATGCAAGCGTCGGGGCGAAACAGCAGCTTCGCCGCCATTCGGCGAGAAGGGTGAGTCCCCATGCGGACAAACCTTGGCTGCTAACCAGGTAAGCGGCGCACCGCGAAGCGGCCGAGCGGGGGAGCTTTCCGAAGGCCACGGGGCCGAGAGCGAACCCGTAACGCCGACTCACGCGGCGGTTGCTGCGGTCCTGTGTGGGCGCGATACCAGACTCCCCCATTTGGGAGAATGGGAATTGCTTTCGGCAGCGAAGAGCTACTGAAGGCTCAGCAGAGTGATCCGTTTCGAGTCTCGGAGGGACGGAGCGCCGTATACGCTGCTTGCTTTGCGGCGGGCGCCGTTAAACCGTCTTGACGAGGCGCGGAGCGCCGTTACGCTGCTTGTTCTGCGGCGGGCGCGATTAGGGGGCTGAAACAGCGTGTGTCGCTGAGTCCCCGGCGGATTCATTTTGCTGGACCATGACGGGCTCCTGCTGAAATATATAGCCACTGACGACGAGTCCATAGACCCGTTTAAGGTGGTTATGCCCAAAAGTCTGAGAGCCGCACTGTTGCGATCCTCTCACGACGAATCCATGGCCGGTCACCTGAGTGGCTCGAAAGTTTTTGCAAACTGAGCAATGTTGTGACCTGGCCCGGCACGAAGCGTGGCTTTTATCGCTATTCCGTGCCTGCCACGTCTGACGAACGGTTGAGCCAAGGGTTGGAAAGCCGCCCGGTCTTATGAACCGATTGTCAGTGAGCGTCCGTGGCGCGTACTAGCTGAAAGATCCCCTTTGGGAAAACTCAGCCGTGCCCACATCGCAGACCTGAAGCCCTTTGTCACGGTCTGACGAGCTCGCGCCAGTGCCCTGCGGCACTTCGCGCAAGCAACGGGCACACCCGGAGCGACGGACCGCATTCGGACCCCCGCGCCGGTATAATCTGAGGAAGCGGTCACCTTTGTGATTTCGCGCCGGACGGCGGACTTCTCCGCAACCGAAGGCCCTCAGTTTACTGTCTAGCCTCAGTATAGGTTAGCTTCTTTACGGCCTTTTCTCGTAAAGGAGTTGACCCCGCCCTGTCTGCTGCCAGTGTTTCTTTTTTTTTTTTTGAAGTGTTCACGTGTATTTTATGTTTCTTTTGTCTAATATTAAGTGTTATTTGTGTTTTATGTTTTTTCGCCAGAGGTTGAGTGTCGTTTTGCTCTGTTTTTACTTTTTTTTTCGTATTCGTTTCGTCTACCGCGAAGGGAGCTGTGTGTGACCTTGTGTGTCGGTGCTTGCCGGGAGGGAGAGAGACGAAGGACGCTTTGCGCCTACGCTCGCGCAGCTGTCGGCGGTGTGTGTGCGTGCTTCTGTGCGTGTGTGGGTGCGTGACGCTTCGATGCGAGCCCGCGAGGAGTGCGTCATAGCTTCCCCCCATCGATGCGGACGCTGGAGGTGCTGGGGGGTCATTGACCCACTGACGTCAGACCATCTGGCTGTGCTCTGCTCTCGGCCGTCGCCGAAGAAGCCGTGCTGCCTTTCCCACCATGGCTCCTGCGCGAGGCCAGCTGAAAGCAGCTATATGCTGCCGGCCAACGCCAGGGCGCCTCGCAGCCAATTTCGGTTCGGCCTCCCTGACCACCGGAGAGGCCCGGCTTCCCGCAACGTCCAGCTCCCTCATCGAGCCAGAAATGGAGCCAGAAATGCGGGGCCTCCGAACAACCGAAGCGGCTTTCGTCGGACTCGCGGCTTATCAAGAGCAGGAACAAGCCATCAGTGAGCCCCCCCTTCCGGTACCTCTGACCTCGCACTCGGGCATCGCACCCAGCGGACACTGTCACGCCTTTCCGCCCCTCCGCGCAGTGGACGCTATCCCCCTTCAGCACCACGAACACTAATGCCACGTTTCTGTGCTCCCTTCTGCAGTATTTGTATAGTGTCATGTGTTTACTTTGTTATGTATGTTTTGTTTCTCATTTGTGATCTTTTTTTAGCAGCAGTAGCAGGGCTGGACTGAGGTTAGCTACCGCTCATTGCAGTGTCATTTTAACTGCATGGGTGACGTCCGGCTGCCTTTTGCAGACCGGTAAAGGACAAGTTTAGGAGAGGGGGATGTGGGAATTGAGGCTGGCCCGCTGCCTTTGCGCGGGCTTTCCCGCCTTTCTGCCATTCTCATGTCCCGACATGTCTGCCCTCCTTTGCTGTCTGCCGCGCCGGGAAGGGCGGAGTGACGTTTACCTCCCTCACCCGGTAGCGGATGTTGACTGTGGCGCCGCGCGGGGAGCCTCCCGAGAGGTTTTCGCGCGCTGCGTCAGGAGCGGTGAGTACAGTCCGAGACTTCAAACGGTGAGCCACGAATTCTTTTCCGTCCGTCGAGTCCCGTCGCTCGGGGCTCGTCGGACTTCGCTGACGGCGCCTCGCGCCCGATGCGAACGCTCACCTTTTGTTGCCCCGCTGCGTACTCACGGCCGAAGGGCAGTACGGTGTCCTAGTGCGTGGCCTAGCTACGCCGACCCGTCTCCCTTCGAAGCCAACGCGAGCGCCTTTGCCCTCGCTCGAGCAACCGGGCCCCCTTTGTCCCGGTGTCTCCGTGGATCACCTTTACCGCGGAGACGTGCTCGTGGCACCCTGTGTAGTACTTTGTGCCCGTGGCGTGGATAAGCCTACTTGCTTTCCCGCCGCGCCTATTTGCAACGGGCTGTACTGCGTTTGGTGTTGCCACAATAAAGTGTTGCGACTTGAGCAGTATCGTGTTTCCCGCCACGGCGACGGTTAACGCGTGCCCTGCGGCTCGCTAAGACCGGACCCACGCTGGTGGCCGTACTCCTTCGGGATACGTGTACACCACAACGTGCATGCTTCGTCGTCGCACTGCACATAGTCCTCGAACGTCACCGAGGCATCCATCGCGAGTCTTTCGACGACTTCTTGCCACATGCCACTCGCGTCGCTTTCTTTGCTGCCTTGTTCAGATTCAGATGGCATTACTGCCAAGCCTGCCTTCCTCCAGCAGTTCTGGATGGTGGTTGATGTAACGCTCCACCAGGCCCCGGTAACCATTTCTGTGGCCTGTCGCACATTGATGGAGGTAGGCAGCTTCATCCGAAGATTTATCAGCAATCGCTGAACCAGGCGTGTCCGGTAATGGGCCTTGACACTTTTTATGATGCCTTGGTCCAGTGGCTGGAGCAAGGACGTACAGTTCGGAGGCAAGAATGTCAGCCTGACATTAACAAGATGCGCCGAGCAGTTGTCGGCGATAATCAGGATTTTCCTACCTGCGCTCCTCATCTCATCGTCCACCTTTAGTAGCCACTCGGAGAATAACTCTCGTGTCATCCACGCGCGTGAATTAGCCCGATAATCGCACGGCAATGAAACAACGTTCCTCATGCAGCGAGGCTTCTTGTATTTGCCGATCACCAAGGGCTTCAGCTTCTTGGTGCCTGTGGAATTGCAGCATAACAATACCGTAATCCGGACTTTGGACTGCTTGCCGCCTTTGCAGCTGTTCCCTTTAAAATGCATGGTTTTATCAGGAAGCATTTGATAGAAGAACGCTATTTCGTCCGCATTGAATATATCATCTTCGGAGTATGAAGCGACGATTTCACGGAACTTCTCGTCCCTCCATGCAGCAGCGCTTGCTGCGTCTGCCGCCTTCTCTTCACCAGACACCACTTGCCAGGTGATTCCATTCCTTTCACGGAAACGATGAAGCCACCCCGCGCTTGCTTCGAAGCCTGTGATGTCCAAAGCATCAGCGAATTGCCGGGCTTTTCCCTGCAGCATGGGTCCTGACACCGGCACATTTTGAGAACGCGCGTCGTTGAACCAAGTCAGTACTGCAGCATCCACTTCTTGGAAATTCCCAAGTCTGAGCCGTTTTCTTGACGGTGCGAGCTGGGACCCTCGGTGCAGCTCGAGGATCTTTTGTCGGTCCTTCAGGATGGTTGCGACAGTTGATGGTGCAACCCCCATCTCGTTCGCAATGTGGATTTGTTTTTTACCGGCGTCCACTTGAGAAAGAATATCCACTTTTTCTTTCAAAGAAAACTGCCTCCGTTTCTTTTTCGCGCTGCTTCCGGAGCTCATCGCGAACGCAGAAACGAATCACTCTAACCTTTAAAACGAGAAAGCCGTACGACAATCGTGCGACGTTACCGGTCGACGTAACAAAACAAAGGCGGCGAGGTTAGGCTCAACCTGGCTCAACGAGCATGCAAAAAAAAAAAAAAACAACCATCGAAAACAAGGTACTGGCGATGGCAATAGGGCTAGCCAGGCTAGTGCGCATTTAGCATAAGGCAACGCATGAAGAAATGAGCAGGAGCTCTGATGATGATGATAGTGCCACATATGGCGCTGGGCATTTAGACCGCCGCACGTAATTTTTACGCTAGAAATTCGTTATTTTGAAGTGCTCTTAAGGTACGAGGGTGATAAAATTTGATACGTTATTCTGAAACATTCGTTATTCTGAAATTCGTAGTAGTGAAATATTTTTACATCGAACCAATGGACATTTGGAAGGGGATTTCCGAAATATTCGTTAATCTGAAAAAATCGTTAATCTGAGGTTCGTTATAACGGGATTTCACTGTAATGGAGCTTACAAGCATACTCTGAAGATTCCAGAAAAAAAATCATAATGGGTCGAATCAGTAAGCCTTGTCCATGACTTTGTGCACACTAGAAATAACATCCAATCATCAATGCATACTGTCCACATACCACGAGAAAAAACAGGTTGCCAGAAGATACTTACAGCAAGTGTGGACCATTGCTGTGCTTAACACAAAAATAAGTCAAATATTGAATGTGGGCATCATGGCTGCAACTCAGATCTATGAAGCTGCATTTTGCAGCGGCCCTTTAATTATCATCATCAGCAGCAGCTTGACTACGTCCACTGCAGGACAAAGGCCTCTCTCATGTTCCACCAGTCCACTCGGTCCTGTGCTTGCTGCTGCCAATTTATACCTGCAAACTTCCTAATCTCATCTGCCCACCTAACCTTCTGTCTCCCCCTAACCCGTTCGCCTTCTCTAGGAATCCAGTTAGTTACCCTTAATGACCAGCGGTTATCCTGTCTACGTTCTACATGCTCAGCTCATGTCCATTTCCTCTTCTTCATTTCAACTATGATATCCTTAACTCCGGTTTGTTCTCTAATCCACTCTGCTCTCTTATTGTCTTTTAAAGTTACACCTACCATTTTCGTTTCCATTGCTCGCTGCGTCATCCTCAATTTAAGCTAAACCCTCTTTGTAAGTCTGCAGCTTTCTGCTCCGTAGCTAAGTACTGGCAAGATGCCGCTGTTATACACCTTCCTCTAGAGAGATAGTGGCAACCTACCTGTCATGATTTGAGAGTGCTAGCCAAATGTGCTCTGCCCCATTCTTATTCTTCTAGTTACTTCAGTCTCGTGGTTCGGCTCCGCGGTTATTACCTGTCCTAAGTAGACAGTCTTTTACAACTTAAAGTGCTCTATCACCTATCTCGAAGCGCTGTTCTCTGCCGAGGTTGTTGTACATTGCTTTCGTTTTCTGCAGATTAATTTTAGGACCTAGTTTTCTGCTCTCCTTGTCTAACTACGTAGTCATGAGTTGCAATTCGTCCCCCGAGTTACTCAGCAATGCAATGTCATCGGTGAAGCGCAGGTTACTAAGGTACTCTCAATTAACTCTTATGCCTAACTGTTCCCATTCTAGGCATCTGAAAACCTCCTGTAAGCATGCGGTAAATAGCATTGGGGAGATTGTATCCCCTCGCCTTACGCCCTTCTATGGTAGCCGTTTATCCCCTGTAGATTTCTTCTAGGATGTTTATATAGGCTTCACTGACGCCCTGATTCCACAGTGTCTGCATGACTGCTGATATTTCTACTGAATCAAATACCTTTTCGTAATCTATGAAGGCTATGTAAAGTGGTTGGCTATATTTTGAACATTTCTCCATTACCTGATTGATAGTATAAATGTGGTCGATTGTTGAGCAGCCTGTTCGAAGCCCTTTAATTAACTTAGGTAAAATCATTTGCATGAAAATCTGCACACTGCAGTAAAATTTTTGCAAGCAAAAATTCATTCCCAATTTGTACTGCAAAGCTACAAAAAAAAAAAATCGCCCTGTTCCAATATTCTAAACTGAAATTTTCGTCATTCTGGAGCCGCCAAGCTTTTTTCTGAGCTTCACAGCGAAAGGGCGCACATATCAACCACTCAAATCACAGGATTGCTGAATATGGCAAATACATTTTCTTTCAGTGCTGCCTGCTTTAGTTGAACGAAGGAAGGAAGGAACGGGAGAGAACAGAAAGACAGGGATGTTAACCAGTCTAGGAGTGGTTTGTTACCCTACACTTTAGTTGCATAAGGCAGAGCTGGTACCTTTTGGGTCGGCATCAGGATACAGCTTGGACCAGGGTATCTTGGCCTTGTGGGGCAATGACTGCAGGTAGGAGCGCGCCTTTTCGTTGATGATGCAGTTGAGGTCATCGGGGCCGGGTGAGCCGAGCACGCCGAGGATGTGGTTCAACTGGTCCAGGTAGTGCTTGCCCGGGAACAGGGGTCGGTTGGAGACCATCTCGGCCAGGATGCAGCCGACGGACCAGACGTCGATGGCCTGGCTGTAGCCCTTCGAGTTGAGCATTATCTCGGGCGCCCGATACCAGCGGGTGGCCACGTACTCCGTCAAGAAACCAGTGTGGTCATGCTCGGGGTCAGCCACCCGCGCCAGACCAAAGTCGCAGATCTGCTCACATGTCAGAAAAACAGGTGCAATGTTGGCAACGCATTACTTTTCGTGGGGCTATACAAAAACTTTTGATGACAATCCCGGAGATGTTAGCCTGGCTTATCACTTGGCTGACTACTCTTGGGGTCCAGTGGTGGTTATGGCACACACAATGATAACAAATATACATAAATAAGCGCGTACAGTTACACTTATACACATTTACATGCAATAATTCATAGTGTTTTGTCAAGACCTGTGGTCCTCATAGCAACGCATTCCATGTTGTGCAGCGCGCGTGTGCCAGTTGATGATGCGCTGCTTTAGGTAGCAGTTCTTTATGGGTCGTCATGGCAAGGATTCACTGAGAGAAGCGGTTCTTAAATGCACGTTCTGAATAAATTTCGGTAGTTATAAGATCATACTGCCCCCAGTCCCCCCCCCCCCCCCCCCTTCTTTTTTGTGTGGTGGTCCTTACAAGCCTTTTCAGGTATGGCACTTCGCCAAAAGTCGGGGAGGTGCCACAGCTCCAAGCAGCATTGCAAATGCAGTACATACTGCTCTCAGAACGTGTCATTCTGGGCCGTAGCAGTTGCAATCACACCAAACGTGTTTAAGTCTCACTGAAAGCTGTCAAGTTGCAGCGTAAATCGCTTGATGCAAAAGGACACGTTGCTAAGCAATAGAGGTGATATAGTCCAAACTTTACAGCAAAAGCTACAGCTTGGTGGCTAAGAACAGTGAACAAATCTCTTGGAATTAAAAAAATAAAGCGCTATATAAGGCCTGAAAAGTGAACGCTACACATCACAGCAGACCACTCAAAGTGGCAGGCAAGCTCAGCACGAGCGAGAAATTCTGACAGAGCAGGCCAGCACCTTGAGGTCGCACGTTGTGTTGAGAAGCAGATTGCTGGGTTTGAGGTCTCGATGCAGCACATTGGCGGAGTGGATGTACTTGAGGCCACGCAATATCTGGTAGAGGAAATAGCAGATGTGGTCGTTGCTCAGCTTCTGCGTCTTCAGCAGTTTGTACAGGTCAGTCTCCATCAGGCACTGAACGATATAGCTGTACGGTGACATTGAAGAAAGCATCTCGTCAAGGAAAGCACTTTTGGCCAAAGAGATGGATGTATCGAATTCTCGTTTATTTGTTTGTTTGAAGATGGTCAGGTTCCTCGCAAGCGCACCTGGCCAATATCTCCAGGCAGGCTCAGTCCACAAATCACTAAACAGCCTCCCACAAAAAAAGGGTTTCGAATTGAGTCTTAAGGGCCCCTAACCACCCAGATGTCGAAATTTAGTTGTGATGGGGAAATTGTGCACGAGTGCACGACGAACACGAAGCCGTGAGAATTTTTTGAAACGGCACAGTAATAGTGGAGTTAACGCAGCTTGATTATCGAAACCGTGATGACCACACCTTTCCCTCTCTCCTGTGCTCTCCTCTACAGGTATCCTCTCCCACACTGCTTTCCCTCTCGCCGAGCACCCCTCCCAAATCTCTCGTGGTATACGTCATGGCCGACTTTCTGCTTGAAAACTGTTTACTTTCGGTTGCCGTGACTCCAGCCTTCGGCTCCGTCAGTAGCTGACTCGAGAGCGGGCGCATGCACGCCGATAACACGACAAACAACAAGCAGCGCGGACAGTTCCTTGCAGACTGACCGAAATTCATAGGCTCCTGCTTGATCAATCAGCATATTGGGCTCAGCGCGTCAGACATATGGCACAGCAGGTCACGCGGAGTCCCAAAAGATCTGGAAAGGGGGAGAAATTGCTTCTCGAAATTTGTGGCGTGCCGACGGCTCGTAGCGATGCCACGTCTAGAATTGTTGATCGCAACGGCATTCTGCACACGATGCACATGTTTACTTGAAATGTTCGAAAAAATATCGAAAGTAGTTTACAGGCCCTTTAAGGGGAGGTGCTACTCTAAGACACCTTTCTTTGAAACTTCAGCTATGTATAGAACTTTGCAAGCTGATTTCAAATATAGAATCATATTTCTTGAAAGTTACATACCTTAAGTTTTGCAACTGAACAAATCTAGTGGCTGAATCTAGAGATTATATTTAACAAAGTGAAAACCTTCAGCATTTTGCCCCACTGCCCCTCTTTCCATCACTAAACTTCCATAATTATCACCAAACTTCCATAATTTTTTAGCATTTATAGTTCATATTGTTTCAAATAAAGTGTAGAATGCAAAAATCTAATTAGGAAGTGCATTGATTGATGATTGATGTGTGGGCTTTATGAGAGACGCCGTAGTGGAGGGCTCCGGAGATTTCGACCACCTGGGGTTCTTTAACGTGCACCCCACCCAAATCTGAGCACACGGGCCTACAGCATTTCCGCCGCCATCGGAAATGCAGCCGCCGCAGCCGAGATACAAACCCGCGACCTGCGGGTCAGCAGCTGAGTACCTTGGCCACTACACCACCCTGGCGGGGCAATTAGGTAGTGCATACAAATTATGTAAAGACATGAAAAAGTCTGTATTTCTCCAACCCTATTAAAGGTTTACATAGAATGTTTTATTACATAATAAAAATATTGAAATTTAAAGGGACACTAAAGTCCAATAACAATTTATGTCAGAGTGAATGCTCAATGTATGGCAACGTCTAAAGCAACAATATTATCAACAGCAGTACCCTACTTACCGAGAAATTGAGGTAAATGCACAGGAAAACATGCACTACACGTAGGACATTCGCAAGATGAGCCCAATGATGTCACACGAACCACCTGCACTTAATCACTAGTAATCCAACTAGCTGCACTAAATAAAGAACTTTCCGCACACCAAGAAACAAAAGTAATAAAATGCTGCTTGTTTGTTTCTGTTCGATTCTTGGAAAAAAGAACCGCCAAACCTTACTATGGGGAATAGCACGAGTGGTTCAAAAGTTCAATCTTCGCCTTGGTAAGCTGAACAGGTCGTGTCATCTATTGGGACCCAGCTGAGCCAAGCACGTCTGCCATCTCGCAGGCCATGGCAAGAAATTGTTCAATGGCCAGTGCTGCTGTGGCTCCCGCTACTTTCGTTCTACTGCTACTAGTGGCGACGGCCGCGCAGTAATGCCGGGCAACGTTGTTCATGGCAGTAGTTACGCGACACCTTCCGCTTGAGGCGGAGGATTTGAAATGTGCTAACATGATGCGGAGCACTGAAATATGATTTCATTTCAAAATAAGCACTTCCTTGGTACAAAAATAACACTGCGAAGTTTCCGAACCACTATTTCAACGATAAGCGTGAACTTAGTAGTATAAGTGATTGATGTGTGAGGTTTAATGTCCCAAAACCACCATATGATTACGAGAGACGCCGTAGTGGAGGGCTCCGGAAATTTTGACCACCTGGGGTTTTTTTAACGTGCACTTAAATCTGAGCACACGGGCCTACAGCATTTTCGCCTCTATCAAAAATGCAGCTGCAGAAGTTGGGATTCAATCGCGCGACCTAAAGGTCAGCAGCCGGATGCCTTAGCCACTAGACCACCGCGGCAAGGCAGACTTAGTAGTTGCCTTTAGTGTTTCTTTAAAGGGCTTTAAATTTCTGCACTAAAAGTTTTACATCGACTCTAACTATTGTGAAGTTCAATACTACAGACCCACACAGCTAAAGGAAGCAATAATGGAAAGGATACACATCCTTCATTTGTTCGATTGTGGGTGCCCGAATGATGTCCCTGATGTCTATGATCTGAAAAAAAGAGGGAGGAAAAGAACAAAAATTCAGACCCCACAATTTAGCCTTACACGACAAACTTTGGACAGAGTCACTAGCCTCATTTTATAACACACAATACCAACAAGATAAAATTATTGCTAGACAACTCAGCTTTCTGACAAAAATTTCCAAGAGCATGCATATCTGTAGTCTATCAGTACTACAAGATGAACTTTTCAGATGAGTGACAATGAGAATTGACTTACATTTTCATGTTTAAACCGCGTCAGTATTTTGATTTCCCGCAATGTCCTCTGGCAATAGGTTTGATGTTCGAAGGGAGAGATCTTCTTGATGGCTACTTTTTCGTTAGTTTCATTGTCAAAAGCAGAGCTGGAAAAAAAAAGGCAGGAGAGAAAGAATGTTTCAATGTCATTGTAAATAAATCACCACCATGAGCGTACACCAGAGATACAGGGAACTTCCTGCATAAAAGTGACAACTCGTACAAGCAGCTTTTTTTTTGAGGCTATTCTTACATGAGTAAATATGTATTTTTCTTATTTTTTTTTTATAGCGAAAGCTGTTACGAGATCAGGACTGCAACTGTTTTTGCGCCACAGCTGTTCGCTACCTCTGGTGGTGTCCCTCTAGCAAGAAATATGAACACAACGAAATAAGTATTCACGGTAGAATGGGATTTGAAAATGAACTCTTTATGCAGCAGCCTAATATCCTACAACAGAGCCACACATGTGCTAGACCACCTTTTTCCAACAGACCCTACACAGGCTTTATGACAGGGAAGGAATCACATTAGCATGTTTTAGAGCATTATAGAAGAATAAAATAACCAGGGTCACACAATGCAAACGATGCAATTAGTGGGTCGTGAAAAGCTTTCAACCCACCACAAAATTCTCACCCGTAACTGTTCATCACCATCCGCGACAGAATCAACAAAGTGCACACGATGCCTTACAGATGTGTAGCGAGTACCTTGAATAACAATGGCGTGGTGGCTGCTTGCCTACTCAACAAAAATTATGACTTGTGGCACAGTGGACGCCATGCAAGTGTACTTGTCGTAGGTGCCCCAGGAGTGTTTAAAAAAAGGCCCCAGAAAAGCCGCTCTTCCAGCTTTTGCTGCACGTTCTGCGCAAACTTGGCCTTTTTTTTTTTTAATATTTACAGTGTATTACTGGCTGGAAGACTAGACAAAAGTACAATAAACTGTCACTTCCTCATCACCTGTCCACTGTCTTGAGTTCCCCATGAATCATGCTGAAGTTTATTCTATTGAAATCATAAATTTACCAACCATGTCACCTTCTGCACAGCAACCGTAGAACTTAAAACAACTAGTTTAGCTGTGCAAGCTTAGTTAAAGGCAATGGCTGCACCTTCCACTGATTTACAATACTCGTGAATTAAAATAAAAAAATTTTGGGCTCATCAATGTCCATAATTTCACTTCGAGCATCTACAGTTCGAGCCATATCGGCATCACTTTTACTTGTAAAACTTGCATTAGAGCAAATCTTTAGCTTTACAGTAGCATGAATGCAATTATCACAAGCAATAGCTCATAACTACATATATGTATAGTGTAAAGAAGATAGCGCTGCTATTGCTTCGGCGTGCTTAGGCAAGCCGAGGCAATAGCAGCACTATTTTCGTTACAATATACATATATTATGAGACCACGTTCGGTACGGCAGCAACCAGGTTATCTTTTCAGTCCAGACGCACGAGCCAGAGAGCCAGCCCGCGTGACATACGATGATGATCACTACAATGGTTTGGTCATACAGATGAAGATGAAGTACATAGTCAGCGCTCACACTATTTTCCCCCCTTCGCGAAAGAGGGCAGCAAGTTAAAAAGGGTTGGGACGCCGAATATATCGTTTCAGTCGAGAGACGTGGGCGATCTCAGTGTGGCGGTGACGGTAATCAGGAGCCGCGTTGACAGGAGCAACGCGATAGTTGACTTCAGATGTTCGTTCCAGGACGGTGTATGGACCGAGATATCGGTGAAGGAATTTTTCGCAGAGCCCAGGTACACGAACAGGTGTCCACAAAAGGACTTCGTCCTGGGCGGAACACAACAACTCGACGCTTCGCACCAATGTCGATTTTTCTCTTGTCCTGAATGGTAGCAGTGTTGGCGTGGGCGATTTCACGGCAGCGGGCGACGCGAGCGGCGAACTCTTCCGGGAGAGATGAAGATGGATTAGAAGATGTGGACAAAAAGGTGGTGTCCAGAACAAAAGTCGGTACACGGCCATACACGAGAAAAAAAGGGCTGAAATTCGTCGTACGCAGTATGGCAGTGTTATATGCGAATGTGACGAAAGGAAGTATTGTGTCCCAGTTTTTGTGATCCGGTTGCACGTACATAGAGATCATGTCAAGCAAAGTTCGGTGAAAACCCTCAGTCAGACCATTAGTTTCTGGGTGATACGCTGATGTGGTTTTGTGGATGGTGTTAGAGGCCTGTAAGACTTCAGGGGAGGGCGACTGAAGGGAGGTGGATGGATACGGTGCGGGATCATATTCATCGGGTCTCGGGGCAAAGTCTCTCTCGTAAGCTGAGTAACCACGTCGTTCATCCTGCTGACGGTGGCGGCAGAAACGGGATATATGACCCCTTATGCTACAGTAGAAGCAGATGGGGCACGGAGGACACCATGTAGAATAGTGGCGTGGCCTTGGCGCTTGCGTTGTCATCGCAGCCACATGGTCGCATCCGACGTCCCGCAGACACGGTTGGAACTGGTGCAGGGGCCCGCGATGCAACTTCTGCGTACGAAGGCACTGGGAAGCGCACAGGAGACGGGGCATGTGCAGCGCTTGTCATTGATGCCAGTCCGTCCTTGATTATCTCTCGCAGGTTGGGAGAAGGTGTGTGGACAGACGCAACGGTAGGGTTGCCTGGAATAAGGCCGTGAAGTTCTCTGACAATTGTGCGGATAAGGGCCCGCAATTCATGCTCTTTGGTAAAGCGAGCGTCGCAGGAGGCATGTGGAAGGCGCATGGAATGAAGCGCGTCTAGGCGTTGGCATGTAGTGATGACGTCCCGGACGGTAGTCGGATTCTGGATCACGAGAGCATTGAAGGCCACAGAGTTGATACCTTTCAGTAAATGTCGTATGCGATCGGCCTCCGTCATGTCATTTTGTGCTCGGCGACAGAGAGCCAGAATATCTTCAATGTAGGACGTATACGATTTGTCGTACCCCTGGATGCGGGTTGCGAGCTTCTGTTTCGCTACTACAGAACATCCTGCAGACGTGCCAAATACCTGACGGAGATGCCCCGTGAGGGCCGACAATCGGAGAAGTCGCTCTCATGGTTGTAATACCAGGTTTTAGCGACGCCATCGAGGTAAAAAGGAACGTAGCGCAGTTTGTGCGCCTCGTCCCAATAATTACAAACGCTGGTTCGATCATAACTGTCCAGCCATTCTTCGACGTCTTCGTTGCGAAGGCCGGAAAATACTGGAGGGTCTCGATGAGAGGTACTCACGGTGTAGTGAAGCCCAAGTGGCTGAGAAGGAGCTGTTGCAGCAGCGAACGCGTTGGGTTCTGCTATCGCTGTTGCTTGAGGACACAACCGTCGACCAGACCGGAGCTCCAGGGGTGACGGGTAGAGCAGGAGGACGTGGGAACCAAAGCACGCTCCACCACTTATGAGACCACGTCCGGTACGGCAGCAACCAGGTTATCTTTTTAATCCAGACGCACGAGCCAGAGAGCCAGCCCGCGTGACATACGATGATGATCACTACAATGGTTTGGTCATACAGATGAAGATGAAGTACATAGTCAGCGCTCACACTATTTATAAATATGTAGCTATATATAACTATATAAATAACCAAATATGAGGCCTTTCAATCCATGAGTAATGTACTATGGTGTTGTAACAACACAACACACTGTATATTTCATTAACGACTTGTCACGGCATGACATATATGAAAATAATGTAAATGGAGCCAGCATTACACTCATCATATGAGCCTGTTGCAGTATCACAGTGCCAAGTAAAAGGGCAGCTAGCATACATAGAGCAGACTCGTGTAACCAAACAAAAAAGGTGTGCAAGTTTGTGTGCTACAATATTACAAAGATAGATACAGGATGTAAGAGATCATATTTAACAAATTGATGTGGTTTGTAGGTGACCAAGCGACCCGGGGTTCTTAACGTGCACTTAAATCAAAGCACACGAGCCTCCAGCATTTTCATTTCTATTGAAAATGCAGCTGCCGAAGCCGGGATTCGATCCCGCGTCCTGCGGGTCAGCAGCAGAGTGCCTTAGCCACTCAACCACCGCGGTGGGGCTGTTCTCCACGCACTGGAGCCAGACAACACAAATAATATATTGTAATTTGTTTTTTATTTTGGTTTCCAAGTTTTCCTCACCCTGCATCTGCAAGCTTGCCTCACCGCAATCGATATCATCACAACAAGTCAACACAGTTAACTGGGTCTGTGAAGTCTGCGTACTGCATGCATGCCTAAATTGCAGAAATATGAGCCTTTGGATGGAGGCCATTCCCTCATTGTTGGTCACATTCACCATGGTGCGACTGGCTGCTGTTGCTTGTATTTTGAGAGTTGCAGTCATCCCGTTACATCAGACGCATGGACACGCCACTGCAAGGCCACCTTCTCAACATCGAAACCACAAGTGCTGCTTTAAGGTAGCGGTATTAAAAAAATACTCCATGCATTCCCAAGAGCTGGACACTCTTTTTAGGGTTCTCGAAACCGAAGTTTTAATTTGGAGAAACAACCAGACATTATTTAGAATTCTTGTCAGCACTGTGTCACAAGTGTGAATACAGCCATCTACCCAGTAGGTTTCTGCAAAACAAGTTTATTTAGTCACTTTGCACAAGAAATTTGAGCTGTAAATGCACTTCCTACTGAGCAACACCCCCATCACAGAAAAACTTGTTTCAGTCTGAGTCACCATACGATTTAAACTTGTGCAAAACTAACACCATAGCATGATACTCAACAACTTCAATGTTTGTTTCTTTTGTGCCATTTTTCAAACTGTTTTAAATCTTGGCATCGCGTACCTAACAAGCCCAACAGAAAACTTATGTTTGTGCATGTGTGTTCCATGAGAGAGCCATGTACAGCCAGAAAGTTTTGTAGTAGTTAACCGTTGAACACTATGCACTCTCCGCTACCTGCAACTACTGGAGATGTAAGGCCTTTAGATTGCTTTCATCTGTCCTGGCTTCCAGAACTCTCTTCAACCTTTGGTTTTCGTGCACTTATATCTGACAAAGCATCCTTGTCAAGACATAAAATGTTTCACGACTTCTGAAGGTTTTCATTGGCTCCTACCACCTATCCAACAAAGCATGCACAAGCATCGAGCACCCTTGCAATGCCCCAAGAGCTTTGTGTGTGCAGGTAAGCCACTTCAAGGCCACAAATGAACGTTACAGAGGTAACATTAATCTGGTCAGTTCCAACCTCATCCAGAACCTCAACGACGTAGGTAAAAGAGTAAGGGTGTATACACATATTGTGACAGGTGAAGGTTTTTATTATCTCCTATATAACAATTCAGAAGCAATAAGCACTCGTGCAGTACGCTAAGGACGTCGTGCACACAGGTAAGGCATTTCAAGGCCGCATTGTAAGGGTGTCACTCATCGCTTCGATCCCAATCCCACCTGCACCCTTAAGGACGTAGCTAAAAAGGGGGGTGACGTTTTTCCCACACAGGTGTGCCTTACATGATACACCTTTATCAGTCGGGTATACGCGAACCGCACCCGCGTTATCAGTGCCGGAACTTGCAAGCGCCACGAGAAGTGTCGGCGGATACGAAGGAGTTAAATCTGGGCGTGTCAACAATCACGCAGGTACACGCAGCTGACACGGGACGCTATGCTGCAGTGAGTACAGTTGCCAAGCGCTCGGCCCATAAGAACAAGAGGGATACGTTGTATCGTCCTCTGGGCGCTAGGTGAAGTGTGTGAAAGGAGGAAAATGCTGGCACGTGCAGACGAGCCGATATACCGACGGCCGCCCGGTCACCTTCGGTGCCATCTCGCGCTGAGACGCCGCGCGCCCGGAATGCGGCCGTCACGCATTTGCATGCCGCACGAACCGGCACCTCACAGCGCACCCCGACGTCGCGACAGGAAAAAAAAAACAAAACAATGCCGCTCACAAAGTCGCACAAGAGTGACCGACCGAATCGCTCGGAATGAGCAACCTGCGCCTCCAAAGAGGTGCAACAGAAAACGAAGCTTGCAGTGCGAGCGTTTTACACTACTGACGAGAACCTCGATCGCGCAGCAGCCACTACGCGGGTTGATGTAACGGTTCCTCGCGCGTTTCACTAGAGAATTCGAGCCCAACCTTCACGTCAGATTACAGATAAGTACAGGAGACGGTAACCCACCCACAAGAAGAAAAATATTCTATCGCAGAGCGGCGGCTGACACAATAAATGTTGGATGAATGTCAGGCAGCGCCAACCGGCGTCCGAAAGCCTCCCGAATCCCGGGCACGAGACCTTCGCGGCCCGCTGACAGCGTCGACAGTAGCGCAACGAAAAAAAAAGAAAAAAAAAAGGGGCGAAAAGAAACGCCACCAAGAAGGGAACGATATTGCATCCTCAACAGTTTGCCATTCGTGGTTGTCACACAAGCCGTGAAACGCGCCGAGGCGACTGCGCGCATTTCCGATTGACCGAACAGCAATAAACGGGCAAACGACACCAGGAACTGCAGCCAAGGCTCTTTGACATTTACAACACGCCTGCCGCCGCAACGCCAGTGAACTGCAGTTCTCGCCCGATGGGCGTGCATTAATGATTTGCTGGCCGGTCGAAGGTCAGTTCCGACAAGCCAGAGACAACGTGCCGCTTCTGTTAACGAATCCCAGGCACGGCGTATAAAATTATTGCGGCAAAGCACACAGCCGCCGGCGCGCGGGGGTAGTTCGCGGTGAAGAACGTGAACCGCAGAGAGCGTCGATGCGCCACAGTTCGGTTGTTGCCCCGCAATTAAGCTGCAAGTTCGGCGCTCACGCTAATCGCAAAGGCATGCGCAACACAAAACGGCCCAGAAGCCAGCGAAAGGCTTAATCTCGATGAATGACAACTGTTGCATTACCGTGGAGGGGGGGGGGACCATGCACACTCCGCAGCACGCACACTCGTGCAAGCACTCAGCTTGCCAGCGCGCTTCGAGCAGCATTTGCGAGCGCGGGACGTAGCACAAGTTTGTACTCACACGACCATTCCATAGGCTCCTTCTCCAATGTAGGCTAAATTCGTGTACCGCGGTGCAACTTCGAAAACTTGGCCTCTGACAATTTCCGTTGCCTTCGGTTCGCCCAACTCGTTGGCCGCCATTTTAGTGACCAACGCTCGCTCTCCACCAGTTTCCTTCAGTCCTCCAGCGTGTTCGCACTTTCCATAGGCCGACGTCAGCGACGACGGATGTGACGCGAATCTGGGCCACACGGCGATTGGTTAACACTCACAACGCGTTCGGCCAATGGCATTGCTTAAAACTAAGTGACGTCGTTATAGCGGATGTGGCGTTATGCAGGGGGAGAAAGTAATTGGCTACGTCTTTCGCCGGTTTCGAGATTTCCCACTGCAGATAGCTTGCAGGTAAAGAAGCGCGGGAACATTTGCGCGTCGTCGTACTTTGTAGCATCGCCCAGCACGCATTCGACGCAAGGAGGTGGAGCCAACTTCAGTTCTTCCGTATATTAGCAATTGCTACCACTATGCTGCAAATCGTACGGCGCGTACCGCAAGGCTTACACGTATTAGGTATGCGGCTATTAGCGCATTGCAGTTGCCAATTTTGTTTTTATGGTGCACTGTCACCATGACCACTGTGTCGGTCAACTTACCTTGATCAATGCAACTAGGGTGAAAACACTTTTCCTGTTTCTTCCAAAATTATGCAGACTTATCAGTGTGGCAGTCACCAAGAACATGCTGCTGCCTATTCCAGGCAGTGAATGTTTCACACAGAGAACGAACATCCGGCCCAACCATTTATTTTGTGAATTTTTGTTCCGCACACAGTAACTCCACTCATCACCAGAAAAAAAAAAAAGTACACATTCATCACAACTTCGAGAACAAGCATGCTATCACTGATTAGTTTAAACAAAAAAAAGTACCTTGTCCCCACGTAACTTTTCAGTATGGGCCTAGTCACTTAAAACTTCAAGCTCATCTATGAATTAAAAAAAAAAAGGGGGGGGGGGACACAGGCACAGTATGAATCGCACAGTCACTACACGCACCTTGCAAGCTTTTGGTTGGATTAGAAAAAAAAAAAAAGAAATGCAGGCCTAAAAAATGTGACAGGGTACGCTCGAATCGCTGATGAATATCCCTCCAACTCTGACAAGAGGAGACAGTCTTTTCGAAGGCTTGAAAACAGCGGTGCCACAATGCATCCTTAGATATTACTGTACACTCAGGAAAGCTTGGTGGGTGAAGAAGGGGTGGCAGCAGCAAATTTTCCATTGCGAGGACGACTCGTGGAAGCTTTCTGGCGGTCGGCCGGTAGGTTAGAGGTCGTCGTCGTCCTCGTCGGGAAGCGACGTGTTCTGTGCCTCCTTCATGTCGTTCTCGAGCTTGGCCTGCCATTCGGGGTCCATGGTGACCTCGGGAGGGGCAAGAGCAGGCATGGCCACAAACTCCAGGTTGGGGTCTCCGATCAGTTTGCGCGCCAGCCACAGGAAGGGCTTCTCGAAGTTGTAGTTGCTCTTTGCACTGATGTCATAGTACTGGATTAGGAGGAATATTTAGGGAAAAAAAAAAAAGAGAAAGACAAGGAAATCGGGTCAATTTATGAAGCAGGAAACTACTGCATGCACTCTAGAGACAACCCTTTGCTGGCCTGAACTTGTGTGCAGACAGCAATGTTTCTAAATAGTACTATTCTTAGCAGCTATTTCGACTAAACCAGTTGGTGTGGAAACTGCTCTAGCCATAGAAACACCTCGCATGTTCGTAAGCTGCACTCTTCACAAAGATTGCTTCAACTACTGCACAGCTTATTCATAATTGTTACCACTCACATCAGCCGCAACAATGGAAGAAGGAAACTCCAGCATGAACATGCCGCATAAGAATGCAGCTAGGTATTACATGACAAGTATTTTCTTCAAACGAAATTAATCTCAACATTTGTGTTTGTAATATATAGCATTACTATATAGAAAAAATAAAACCTATATTGTGCCTCAATATGCCAGCAGCCTGAAGCCAGTGTGTGACAATTGGCAAATTATACACCTAGCTCGGTGTACGGATTATGCACTCTACAACTTCTGTATGCTTATTGCACCCAAAGATAATTGACAATGAGCACATAACTAACGACAGAACAGTACACAGCCCGATGAAATGGCGAACGTGATCAACAACCACACATAATACCAGGGTAAACTGCAGCAGGAACTGCAAGCCGTTATGTTTACAAGTGGTGTCAGCTGTACTGCAGCTTGCAAGCAGCCTGTCTACATTACTTTTTCACAATTTCAAGAGTCCCTACACTTGCATGGCAACGTCTTTTTAGGTCTGTCCTGAAGTTCCAAAAATGTGCTTTCTACAATTGTCAATACTGCGTGGCCCTAAAGCAGACGGATTACACCAGTCACCTGGAGATTCTTCTTCCGGTGGAAGACTATGGACTTGGCCTTGACCTTCCGGTCCTTGATGTCCACCTTGTTGCCGCACAACACAATGGGGATGTTCTCACACACTCGGACCAGATCTCTGTGCCAGTTGGGAACGTTCTTGTACGTCACACGCGAGGTGACGTCGAACATGACGATGGCGCACTGGCCTGCACAAACAGACCACGCGAGAATCGACACTTTACAGTTGACTGCCTTGTAGTCAAAATTTGTGCGATAACGTGATCACGGAGCTCCTACTTTGATATAATGAGGACTAGTTAATCACCACATAACAAAACAGCGTTAAGTTTACAAAACATTACTGCAAAACCACTTTGTGGCTACCCTACTCCTTCTGCGAGCTTTTTAGGCAAATACGCTGCATCGATTCCCCGGCGTGCTACATATTCTGCAGAAAATAACTCTGTACATACGATGTACATTAAACTTAAGTGCCTGCACATCACAATGCAATAATTGTTTTGCACGATTGTTCATATACAAGCACTTCTTCCCCATAAACGAAGGTGTCTGCATATGATGCTTACCTTTGAAACAAGGGTTCCATCTTAAACTTAAAACATTCTAAAATACATTTGTATTCCAAGAATTTCACAAGTTAAGCAAACCATGTTGAATAAAATCCGCCCAGTACAGTGACGTATGAGGCGCAAGAGGGCGGCCGAGTGATGCAGCCGCCTGCAAGCCTTGTGTAGCTTTTGGCCACTACACTGAGCACGACTCTTCCAGCTACAATTTTTTTGTTTGCACTAAAATAGATGACCACAATTTCCCACCAGGCACTATACTCGTACAAACGACTTTCATCCATTTAATTTTGCTTGTTTTCACAAACCGTAGCCTCCTTGTTCCAATGCCTGTATGACAGAGAAAAGAGGGTACTCAATCATTCAAGTAATTAGCAGCAGCTCCTTTAAAGCGACACTTAACCACAACTCAGTGATTGATCATCATGCCTTCACAAGGTGGCTGCAACAAAGGTATTAAAAGGATCTTGCTTACGAGCCGAATTGAACCAGGACCCACACAGTGTGGTAGTAAAGTTTGCAGTAAAGTTGCTTGGCACAGTCCTTGCTTGTGAAGGAACATGCAAAACGAGCAGCCATGGGAAGACACGCATACGGTCCAATATCACTCACATTGGCTTGCAGCTGTCAACCCTAAAACGCTCACTCCGACATGCACACCCACAGAATTAATGCTCCCAACGCATTTGGTTATCCTGACATCATCCCATGCACAACAGTGAGGATACAACAATGAAATCATCGCAACTACCATACTTTGCTTAAGAAAAAAAAGCAAAGCAAGAGAGAACATTCTGCAGCAGTACGGATGACTCCTAAATCACCAGTTGAACGAATACATTCAATTCAGCAGAACGCATACATGGCTGCAGGAGCTCTTGCATAAACTTCGTGGTAATAAGACTGACCACATTTCTTTTTAATTTGGTCAACGGTCGAAGCGATGGCCTAATTTCTTCTGCCCATGTCGTCAAGAAAACAGCTCGCCAGGTGACAGGGATCGTGAAGGATCGAGTAAAGGTCCCAATGAAACAGCAGCCCTGCATCATTAAAGAGGAGCACATGTGCATGAAAACTTAAAACTCAGCTCACCCTGGATGTAGTAGCCAGTCACGCAGCCCACCAAACTTCTCCTGGCCCGCAGTGTCCCACACGTTGAACCGGATGGGACCCCGGTTTGTGTGGAACAGAAGAGGATGGACCTCGACTCCGAGTGTGGCTGAAAGAGCATGTACTTAAAGCGTTAATAAAATCCACATCGGGTACAACATAAGCACAACGTATTATTGTCTTACCATGACAACATTTGTGTTCATTACAACTGCGTGAGGGTGAAAGACCTATGCAACTAGCTCAATTTTTTAAAGCTGTCTGTATATTGTTAAATTTGCTATTTGTCATGTTTCTTTTCTTACATCCGGAGACTACAGGTTCTCCCCGGTCACTTCAACCCAAATGCCAGCTTAAATAATCTGCATGCCACTGAAATAATCCAAGCGCCAACTCAATGAGGCCGCGTGCCAGTGAGTTTCATCAGAGTGCCACTGTGTTTAATCCAATTGCCACTGACTAATTCAGGTGCCAGACAGTTTAATCCATGCACCAGAAACACGTAGCTTGCCTCTTTATATACTATAAATTTCAGAATAATGTTAACACGAAGTCACAGGTCGAACTTTTCCCTCGCCTATACATGCTAGCGCTTAGGAAATAGTGCACAGTGCTATTTACCCCTAACATTTTGGCGTTATAGCTCCTAAATTAAAAAATAAACTATTAATTGCACTTATGGGTACTAAATGTATGATGGCATTTGGCTACTAAAAACAGACTGCACTTGGCTACTTATTCACCGAGATACTCGCAGTCGTCTGCTCAGCCCATTGCGAACAACGGTGACCGACAGATGATACCGTATTTACTCGATTCTACCGTGCCCTCGATTGTAACGCGCACCCAATTTCCACGACGAAAAAAAAAAAAGACATAAATTGCAATGCGCACCCATTTTTCTCGCTGGCCCACATGATCACACCACTCGAAAAAACAACTCCTTTCGGGAGCGTCTTCCATTTAAATATGAGGTACGGGGGAAGCTTGTGCCCATCTGACGTGTAACAGAGCATTGCCGTCACTGTAGTTTTACCGTGGACCGATGTCAGCACGCGAACTTCCTTCGCCCCCTTTTTCTTGACAGTTGTGGTGCCAGGCATGTCGAAGTAAAGAGGCGTCTGATCGGCATTCCCGATTTGCCCAAGCAGGTAGCCGTTGTGCCGCAAGTTTAGGACGAACCTATGAAAACTGAAGCTTTTCATCGTACTCCTCCGCAAAACTTTTCCCATATGCCTGTTCACCTTCGGAGGGAAAAGCATCTCCTCTTCATAAAGTTGGTTAGCCAGCACCTGCTCGCTTTAAACTGGCTCCGCGTTAGACCTTTTTCTAAGACTAATTGCATAGCCCGCACTTGGAGCAGTTCTGTCGTCACGGGCTGCTGTGGCGCTCGCTGCTCAAGCACATACTCACCGAGCAGCTCTTTAATTTGCGGAAACCAACCGTGCTGTGGTCCAATGAAACCTTTGCGTGAAGCTTTGCTGTCAATAGTCTTCTGCTTTTGCTTCCGCCAGTCCCGCACGCACGTTTCGGGGACTCCGAATGACCGCAACGCAGCCAGATTTCCGTCCGTTTCTGCACATGCGATGGCTTTTCTTTTAAAAGCGGCATCGTGGTGCACTCGAGTTTTTGGAGTCGGCCCTTCCATGCCGTCGATGCTAATGCACTAGATGACGAACTCCTCAGCACACGTACGAAGTGCTGCACATGGGAAGCACATAGGCAGAAATGGCGGAGACTCGATGCCAGCGCACGTAGAAGGCGGCTATTTTGGAAATGCCGATGGCAATAGAATGACCGTATTCATTTTTTTTTCGTACATGCGATTTATGAACTCTCTTAACCGGAAAAAAGGTGCGCGTTAGATTTGAGTAATTACGGAATTCATTCGTTCTTGAAATCAGAATTAACCATTTGAAACTGAACTTGCATTTATTTAGGTTCGTGTGGAATTAAGTCTTATGAAAGCATCAAAGGAGATACTCTTGTTTTCATGTAAGAGATGACGCTATAGTGTTGCTGAAGCATGTTTGTTGGAAACACGCGTTCATCGAATACACATGATTTTGTTTGAATAAAAAGATAACAGTTAATATGAATCTAAAACATGACTTCCGTTTTCCAAATCAGGATCATGACTTTAAGTCTTGTGTGCACTGCAGGACGAAAAAGAAAACCTCTTTGATTATCTAATTCGCCCTGCCCTGTGAGGGCCCCCTAATTTATTGAGCATGTACCTGCTTTTACTCATAACTGCCCACGGCCAGGTTTTCCATATTGGTGTGCATTCCGGCAGTCCAATATTATGTCTTTCCCATTACATGACCTGGCCCGGTCATGAAAGCCAATTATGAGCTTTGTTGATGAACACAAAATGCTCATTAACATGTTCCTGCTTTTAGGGGCGTAGATCCTTATGGCGTGGCTTGTGCGTCCCAGTGGCACACACCCAAAAAGGTGGTCCTGAGAATGTCTGCTGGATGGCACCACTTGTATATGAAGAATACATGATGAAACAATGTGAGATGGCTGTTCACTTAGACAGATGGACGGACTGATGGACACACGGACACAGAGGGGAGGAAGCACGGCTGCACTGACGATAACGAGTATGGATGGATGCATGGACGGACTGATGAACACTTAGCCCCACCAATAGTTCACTACGTGGATGATCTGCGATGTTGTTCTTTTGTGGTAATTAAAATGACTCCACCCGGGCCAACCACTCATCTACAGACTTGTTCATAGCAAAGTATAAGCCCTCCAAACACGGCTCAAGCGAACTTTGGCAGTATTTTTTTTTTCATGAATACTGCACCCCCCTTTCCCCAAAGAATGATTTCTTCTACCTTCCGCCTTTTGTCTTTTATATTGTAAGAGCTGCATTTTAATTGCACTGCCCTTTTTACACCCCATATTCTGCCTTTTGTGCTCGGATTAAAATGACTCGCACGCGGCTTCATTGAGTTGGCAGCTTGGATTAAATGTTTGGCGCATTAATTAAATAGCTCGGTGCTCAGATTATTTAGGCATGGTCCTTGAATTAAAGTGAGCAGAGAAAGCTGTAGTTTCTACACTAAAGTTAATACTGACAGCATCACAGTGTCACTTCCTCCAAACCCAAGTTTCATAACATATGTTCATGTAGTGATGTACTACGTGAACAGTTATCCGCAACACGATCCAGACGGCGTCCCACCTGAAAAGCAGTCCCGCTATTTTTCCAAGTTCCTTACGTGCAACTTTGTTCTACATATTCAACTTCTGCCTTTGTGAAAAAGCCACAAAAATCTCTGCAGCCTCAGATTAGAGGGACATTTTTCCGCACAGGCTGTGCCATCTGGTTACCTGACAATCATCATCAGCTGCAGCTTTACCAATGACTTAAAGGAGCCCACAACGCAGTACTGACTTATTATTAAAGACCAATGCTATAGAATAACCCCGCAGATTTCAACAAGGACACCATCACCTTACAAGATCACCTTCATAATGGCAATTGTACGTACCAACATATTTCTTCTCGAACTCTCCAGTCAAGTGGCGCTTCACAAAAGTGGTCTTTCCTGTTCCACCATCACCAACCAAGACACACTGTAAACATAAAACAAGACTTCAGTCATAATGCAAAGCAACACGCAAGGAAAAGCAAGTTTGCTTTCTATGACCACCGTGAGGCTCTTTAAATGAAAAAAAAAAAAAAAAAAAGCTGTCTGTCTAAGATACCTTCAGAACATAATGCAAGTATAACACATTGTGGCAATTAACAATTTGTAAATACTCACCATGTTCGGTAACTTTTTACCGTGTTCGCCAAATATACAAGCCGGGTTTGAGTAAAGATCCCAACAAAACACAATTCTTTTGTTTTGACACTGGTCAGTGACCTGTTTTCTTTTTCAACAATATATTACAACTGAATTAACAAAATTTTTAAAATTAAATCCAGGTGTACAATCCACATTGCGTTAACAACACGAATGTAATGAATGGTCACTGCATTTCTCATTCAAAACGTGCAGGACACGAAGTTACGCAGCATCAGATTAGAGGGACAGTTTTCCGCACGGCATTCGCCATTCGGTCACCAATCGATTAATCATCATTAGCTGCAAACATTTTATACTCCTAAAACAATACCCACCAAAAACGGCTAACGCAAGTGCAGCGAAATAGCAGGAGGGTACCGTCACTTACTTTGAAGGTTGGGATGCCGTCCCCGTGCTCCGCCTGCTGCATTGTCTGGAAAAGGCCACAAAAAGATCGGGGCCGTCACAACGACAGGAGTGCTCGAGAGAATCGGAAAACAAGATTAGAGGCGGTCTATCGTACGTTCCCAGTAATCAACGGCGACACGAAACGCCGAAGGCGGGTGCCTTGAGAGGCGCTTCGGAATGCGACAGTCACGAATTCCGCGCAATGAATGGGGGACACAAAAGCCGCGCCGACCAACGCGTTGCGCCGCAGAGACTACACAAGACCAACGGCCATTGACGAAAGATGCGGACACGCAAGCTTCTTGCGGAGTCGGTTCCTGGAAAGACCGTTTCAGGGTGCCGTGCGAAAACGGTTAGACTATGAGTAATCTACCGGCACCTTGCATGGCTACGGCAGGTCGACGTAAGTGCGCCCCTGCGCGGTGTCCGCAAGGGAAAAAAAAAAAGACAACTTGGAACGAAACAGACTGCGACAATTCAGTGTTGATGTGATAACAGCGTTGTCCCAAGAAGCGTTCGGACGAAGCGAAAAGGCACGAACGTTGGGCGCGAATGCCGATGGCGCCAAATTTTTCGCTACCGGCGCACCACTCCGAGCTAAACGCGAACGCTTAGGCACGGCTAGCTAACGTCGCCGCAACTTAAAGGTCCGACCTTTACAGTAAACATAGGCAGGCGCTTATTTACGGGATATCTAAGCGAAATTTCCTTACCAGACGCAAAGTGCTGCGTCCTAAGCCTCACAAAACAATAGCCTTGCGCGAGCGAAATGGGCCCGTTCGGAACGTTGACAACATCGAGTCGCGTACTAATCGCGGCAAACTGTCGCTGAAAAATCGAAATTCACTCACGAAAACGAAGATGTCTTCAAAAACAAGGTTTCCGAGCCGATTTAAACAGATTCGCCCACACAACTGCGCATTCACACACTCATACACAGCACCGGATTTTGGTAAAAGAATTGCCGCGTGTGGGCCGCGGCGCTAGTTGCGTCACAACGCAATTCGCATTTTGTTTCGTTTTTGTTTGGTGAAAGAATACGTATTTTTGCTTCATGCTTTACGCTTAAGTAGCAAAGTTTAATATAAAACTGATAAATTATGTTTTGACAAAAAAACTTATTGTTAAGAAATCAAAACCGAAACTACATTTTGCGCTATAAGTATAATAAATGCTTACTGTACGGGCACGCATTCAGCTGTTTCTGAGGGACCTATAACTATAAAGTTCCACACCTGTCACTAATGTTTTTAGTTATAACTTTTTATCTAGGGCTATCTAGTCCCTACATACTACTACAGTGTACTACTATGCGGGCGCTTCGACCGAGATTGGGGCTGTATGCCCATTGAACGTAGTGGCGCCAGTCTCAAAAGCGTCAGAGTGACATTACAAAGCACATGATTCATTACAAATAATGACAACGAAAATGAGAATGTACCACGGTGCCGCTTCCAATGTCTCGAACATTAATGAGGTTTGTGGGAAAAAACGAAAGAAAAAAAAAACGCCTGCCGATTGTATTTATAATATTAAAAAAGTATTGCTTAAACACATGACTTATGCCTCTTACTAAAATGCAATAATTCATTTGCATCTACAGTGCTCTTCGTTCAACCTTTCCCAAGCGTGCGTTTGAGAATTGAGGCCCCAAGGAGCTTGCATGGGGAGCAGTGAACTTTATTGACATCATGTACATAGTACACAATGCCGGAGGCCGGCAGAAAAAGCCATCGCAAGGATAGCTTGACGAAGCCGCGGGCCCCCGTTGAGGCTTGCGACGCGTCAGGGCGCATGCGCAGAACCCAAGCCAATCTTGGGCTTTTGCGTTCGTGTTGACCTAAGGCTCAAGAATTGAAAACTCACGCCAAGGCGTCTTCGCCAGCGAGTCGAAGCAGACGCAGCGAGAGCCACGGTTCCATATGGCCAGTGTCCCGCATAATTTTTATTTTGGCCACGGGTGGCGCCCCGTGCGTTTAACCCAATAACGTGGGAGGTAGGAAGGCTGCAGTCGACGATAGATTATGCACTGATGTCACATAGGATGTATGATAAGCTCAGGGGAATGCACATAGATGAAGGTGGCTCCAGAAGTCTGGGTAGCGATCACAAACGTGTCAAGCTAAGTTTTGGAAGAGCAGTGAAAGTGGGAAGGAGACAAGATGAGCAACTACAGGAAAATTTTTATCCAGAAAGGCAAATTGAAATAGCCACTAAACAAATTGAGAAAGTAATCACGGAGGATAATAAGACAGTGTGGACATACACGAATCTAATTAGACTCTTTGAGCTAGAGCTTGCTAAGATGCGTGACAAGTCACCCCGGAAAAGAAGACACAAACCCAAAAGTTGGTGGGATGAGGAAGTTAAGAGAGCCATAGCAAAACGTCAGGAAACCTCTAGGGAACACAGACATGCTAAGCAGCGGGGTGAACCGACAGATGATGTTGAAAGAAAATGGGAAACCTTTCTAAGCTGTAGAAGGGATGCATCCCTTCTGATCAATGAAAAGATTAGAAGATAGGGAGCTCAGTGGCTGGCAGAAGTACATAAAAAAGATAGAAAGGCAGCTGCGAAATTTTGGAACCATTTAAACTCCCTAAGAAATGAGACGAGCTTAGAGCAGAGTTTTATAACTACAGCCCAAGGTGCTAGGCTAGAAGGGGACGAAGCTATTGAATATATAAGAACAAGGGTGACAGAACAATTTCAACAAAAAAGTACTTTATGCACCACAATAGACAAGGACGAATCAAGTGGTGCAATGGCTCCATTTTCACAACGAGAGTGGGAAAGGGCTGAGAAAAGGGTTCCTAGTAGTACATCAACAGGCCCAGATGGTATTCCAATTAGGCTGATAAAGACATTAGGTCCGAAGTCTAAGCAGGCTTTGAGAGAGGCAGTGAGCAAAATAATAATCAATGGTGAAGTTCCCGATGGATGGAAACTTAGCAGGATGAGCATGATCTATAAAGGAAAGGGGGACAAAGCTGACATAAACAACTACCGTCCTATAACAGTGACATCAGTGGTCTACAGGCTGGCGATGCAGATTATAAAGGAAAGACTGCAGGCATGGATAGAGAATGAGGGGGTGTTGGGGGAACTGCAGAATGGGTTTCGGAAACACAGGAGGTTGGAAGACAATCTGTTCTCACTGACGCAGTGCATCGAAATAGCAGAAAAAGAACACAGGCCCCTGTGGCTAGCATTTTTGGATATCAAGGGAGCGTACGATAGCATGGTTCAAGAGGAATTGTGGGGAATACTGGACACACTAGGCGTGGAACATGTAGTCACTATTCTTTTAAAGGGTATCTATGAAGGTAACAAGGTAGTTATAAAGTGGGAAAAACAGGTATCCAAGCCTGCAGAGGTAAAACGGGGCTTAGGCAGGGGTGCCCCATATCGCCCTTATTATTCATGATGTACCTACAAGGATTAGAGGCAAAATTAGAGGGAAGTGGACTGGGCTTCAACCTCTCTTTAGTCAAACAAGGAAAACTTATTGATCAGGCACTACCAGCATTAATGTACGCAGATGATATAGTGCTAATGGCCGACAACAAGGAAGATTTGCAGAGATTGATGGACATCTGCGGTAATGAGGGAGATAGGTTAGATTTTAGATTCAGTAGGGAAAAATCAGCAGTCATGATTTTCAATGACAACGAAGGTAGTGAGCTTAGAATACAGGAGGTCACGCTAGAGATGACAGATAAATACAAATATCTGGGCGTATGGATAAGCAATGGGACCGAGTATCTGAGGGAACACGAAATATACGTGACGACTAAAGGTAACAGGAATGCAGCAGTCATGAAAAATAGGGCACTGTGGAATTACAATAGGTATGATGTTGTGAGAGAAATATGGAAAGGGGTCATGGTTCCTGGGCTGACGTTCAGCAATGCGGTCTTGTGCATGAGATCAGAAGTTCAAGCAAGATTAGAAATTAAGCAACGGGGAATAGGTAGGCTTGCTTTAGGAGCTCACGGGAATACACCAAATCAGGGAGTACAAGGTGATATGGGATGGACATCATTTGAGGGCAGGGAGGCTAGCAGCAAGATAAAATTTGAGAAGCGATTGAGAGAAATGGGGGAGGAGCATTGGGCTAGGAAGGTTTTCAGCTACTTGTACATGAAGAATGTCGATACAAAATGGAGGAAGCGAACCAGGAAGTTGACTGGTAAATACTTACAAAACAGCAGGTGACCAAACCAAAAAGAACTATCGGTTAAGAAGAAAGTGAAGGAAATGGAGACTGACATGTGGAGAATGGGCATGATTAAGAAGTCCGCACTAGAGATCTATCGAACTTTTAAGCAGGAAATCGCCAAGGAAAGGATCTATGATAATACTCGGGGTAGTTCTCTACTGTTTGAGGCCAGGACGGGAGTACTGCGAACCAAGACATTTCGGGCCAAATACGAAGGGGTAGACACAGTATGCAGTGCGTGTGGAGAGGAAGAAGAAACTGCCGAACACTTGATAATGTTCTGTAAAGGGCTTCACCCTATAGTTCAGAATGATGGCGCAGAGTTTTTCAAAGCACTGGGGTTTAGGGACCGGGAGGGCAAAATAAACTTTAAGCGGGTAGACTTAACCAGAAGGAGGTTATCTGATTGGTGGCTAAAGTCAAGACACGAGTGAAAATTAAACTCTTCACTGCAAAGTACGAATCCTCAAACTCACTTTTTAAGGAAAAAAAATATAGTTTTTGGTTCATTAAGTATTACGGCTTGGTGGCGCTAGCCACCGCCCGATCTAAAGGGTACAGCCATATCCATCCATCCATCCATCCAACCTAAGGGACCAAGTACCTGAGGGAACACGAATATACGTGACGACTAAAGGTAACAGGAATGCAGCAGTCATGAAAAATAGGGCACTGTGGAATTACAATAGGTATGATGTTGTGAGACGGATATGGAAAGGGGTCATGGTTCCTGGTCTGACGTTTGGCAATGCAGTCTTGTGCATGAGATCAGAAGTTCAAGTAAGATTAGAAATTAAGCAACCTGGAACAGGTAGGCTTGCTTTAGGGGCTCACGGGAATACACCAAATCAGGGAGTACAAGGTGATATGGGATGGACATCATTTGAGGACAGGGAAGCTAGCAGCAAGATAAAATTTGAGAAGCGATTGAGAGAAATGGGGGAGGAGCATTGGGCTAGGAAGGTTTTCAGCTACTTGTACATGAAGAATGTCGATACAAAATGGAGGAAGCGAACCAGGAAGTTGACTGGTAAATACTTACAAAACAGCAGGTGACCAAACCAAAAAGAACTATCGGTTAAGAAGAAAGTGAAGGAAATGGAGACTGACATGTGGAGAATGGGCATGATTAAGAAGTCCGCACTAGAGATCTATCGAACTTTTAAGCAGGAAATCGCCAAGGAAAGGATCTATGATAATACTCGGGGTAGTTCTCTACTGTTTGAGGCCAGGACGGGAGTACTGCGAACCAAGACATATCGGGCCAAATACGAAGGGGTAGACACGGTATGCAGTGCATGAGGAGAGGAGCAGGAAACTGCCGAACACTTGATAATGTTCTGTAAAGGGCTTCACCACATAGTTAAGGATGTTGGCACAGAGTTTTTTAAAGCACTAGGGTTTAGGGACAGGGAGAGGCAAAATAGGCTTTAAGCGGGTAGAATTAACTAGAAGGAGGCTATCTCATTGGTGGCTAAAGTCAAGGCATGAGTGAAAATTAAACCCTTCACTGCAAAGTTCCAGTCTTCAACTTCACTTTTTAATGGAAAAAATAAGATAAATCTAGTGGTTAGTTCACTAAATATTATGGCTAGGTGGCATTAGCCGCCGCCCGATTTAAAGGGTACAGCCATATTAATCCATCCATCCAACGCAGCCTGCAATCGACCCAGTTCTCAAACTCTTCTGATTCTCAGAACGCAAGAGCAACCTACGAGTGTCTTGAACTCCTAATTCTCAAACTCTCTAATGAAGATTCAGTGAG